TCGTTGTCGTCGCTGCCCGACGGCGCTGGCGCTGGCGCTGGCGCTCGCCGTCGTCGGTTGCAGGGGAGGGCCCTTCCCCGGTTCGAGCACCCCCCCCAACAATTCCTTGGGGGGGGGGCTCGGGGGGGCCAGTTCGACCCCCCCCTTGCAATTCAGGAGAGGGCCCCCCCCCCCCACGGTTAAAGCCCCCCCCTTCCAAGCGTCCACAGAACGTGCTTTTGTCACGTTTCCGAACCAGGGTTCTTCTGGAGTCAGAATCAAGCCGCCTTCCCCGAAGTTCTTGCAGCTACATGCATAAGCCCTGGGCCAAACTATGTTTCGAACTGGCAACTCGAACGGACACCACGGGGCACGCGGCTCGAAAGTACGGTATACGGAAGCCTGGCTGCACGCCTCCTTATCTGCAGCTCTACAATCATCGTGCTACCATGAGGAGCGATGAATCGCCCACGAAGGGGCTCCTCTGGACCCAGCGAGCCTCAGCCATGAAAAGATTCCCCGACCGAGACCTGAGGGACGGCCCGACAACCAGGGCCCCTCCTGCCAGAATGGTGTATGTTTCATCGCCTGGACTGTAGATGACTCTCTTCGCCGACCTCCCCGGTGCGGGTGTTTCATCCCGCCTCGTGTTCCGTTGACGTTCCCAGGCGCCGAAATGGGCCTCAAGACGCTCCCAACGGCGAAAACTGGCCCTCTCTATATTTGTTCCCCATATCCTAAGATGGGGTTCTTGTTATCACTTGGACGCCTCCTACTCCTTCCTCTCCTCCTCCCTCCTCCTCCCTCCTCCTCCTCATACCCAGACTTACTCATACACAGACTTACTCATACACAGACTTGCTCATACTCAGACCTACTCATACTCAGACCTACTCATACTCAGGCATACTCATACTCAGACCTACTCATATTCAGACCTACTCATACTCAGACTTACTCTACACACAGCAGATTGTGAGGATGTCTCAGGCTTGGCGCTGGTTTCAGCACCCCTAAGGGGAGCCGCCGAGGGGTATGACACGGTCCCGTTCGCGGCCGTTTTGTGGGGATGTCTCAAGCGGTTTGCCTGTTTTCTGTCCCAGCATCTTTCGTTGTCGAAGCAGATTTGGAGGATGTCTCGCGCGAGGCGCTCATTTTCACGCCCCTAAGGGGAGCCGCCGAGGGGTATGACACGGTCCCGTTCGCGGCCGTTTGGTAGGAATGTCTCAAGCGATTTGCTTGTTCCCCATATCCTAAGTATGGGGTTCTTGTTATTGGCGGACCGCGCCGGAGGAACAGAGAGAGAACAGAACACCACTTCAACTCATCTCTCCGACTCACTCATCACTCAGACTCACTCATCACTCAGACTCACTCATCACTCAGACTCACTCGTACTTGTACTCATACATTCACTACACTCACTCAGGTCCACTCATCGGATGACTCACACACACTGATGTTGAGGATGTCTCAGGCGATTCTGTGGCTTCAGCACTCTTAAGGGGAGCGGCGGGGGGGTGTTGCACTCGGCCCCTTTCGCGGGATTTTGTGGGGATGTCTCAGGCGGTTTGGCCATTTTCTCTTCCAACATGTTTCGCTTTCGGAGCAGATTTGGAGGATGTCTCAGGCGATTCGCTGGTTTCAGCACTCTAAGGGGGGCGGCGGGGGGGTGTTGCACTCGGCCCCTTTCGCGGGATTTTGTGGGGATGTCTCAGGCGGTTTGGCCATTTTCTCTTCCAACATGTTTCGCTTTCGGAGCAGATCTGGAGGATGTCTCAGGCGATTCGCTGGTTTCAATAAGGGGGGCGGCGGGGGGTATCTCACTCGGCCCCTTTCGCGGGATTTTCTGGGGATGTCTCAAGCGGTTTGGCCATTTTCTCTCCCAACATGTTTCGCTTTCGGAGCAGATTTGGAGGACGTTCGCGCCCAGTTTGCGGGGATGTTTGAGGCGGTTTGGCTGTTATGATGCTGGGCATCTGTCGTTTTCGGAGCAGTTTTGGGAGGATGTCTCAGGCGATTTGCTGGTTTCAGCACTCCCAAGGAGGAGGAGGAGGAGGAGGAGGAGGAGGAGGAGGAGGAGGAGGAGGAAGAGAAGGAGGAAGCGAGGAGGAGGAGAAGGAAGAGGACGAGGAGGAGGAGGAGGAGGAGGAGGAGGAGAAGGAGGACAGCATGAACACGGTAGGAGCAGAAGCAGGAAGGGGATGCTGATGATGATGATGATGAGGAGGAGGAGGAGGAGGAGGAGGAGGAGGAGGAGGAGGAGGACGTGGGCAACTCGAGTAGCCAGGGCCAGACGATCGAGGTTCGATGTTCCAAAGCTTTAGGTTTTACTCAAACGCGTCCGCCTCACTCTCCTTCGCTCTCCGCTCTCCTTCACTCTTCTGCATTCATACTCACTCATACTCAGACTCAGTCACACGCAGGCTCACTCGCACTTAGGCTCGCTCATGTCCATACTTAAACTTACTCACACTCAGACTCACGCTCAGAACCACTCATACTCAGACTCGCTCCTGCTCAGACTCATCATCCTTCGGTCCGCTCAAACGCAGACCGACTCACACTCAGACTGCCTCACATCCATACCCAATCGCACTCGGCTCACTCGCACTCATATTCATTAACACACACTTTTTCTCACACTCAGACCCACTCAAGCCCAGACTCACTCATGCTCAGACTCATCATGCTACGATCCGCTCAATCACAGACTGGCTCACACTCAGATTCGTCCATACTCAGACCCACTCGCACACAGACGCACTCGCGCTCATATTTACTCACACGCATACCCACTCAAACCCAGGCTCAATCGCACCCAGATTAACTCACACTCAGAATCAGTCGTTCTCAGATTTGCTATTGGTCGCACTCATGCTTGCAGACTGTGGGAATATCTCGAGCGAGCGGTTCGCCTTCGCACACAGGCGCTCATTGACAGATATCAAGAGAAAGACGTACCAAGAGAATGAGATGCACATATGGGGAGCCCCGCGTCGAGTAATTTTCTGTCCCAACATCCTTCGCTTTCGGAACAGATTTGGAGGATGTCTCGAGCGAGGCGCTCATTTTCACGCCCCTAAGGGGAGCCGCCGAGGGGTATGACACGGTCCCGTTCGCGGCCGTTTTGTGGGGATGTCTCAAGCGGTTTGCTTGTTTTCTGTCCCAACATCCTTCGCTTTCGGAGCAGATTTGGAGGATGTCTCGAGCGAGGCGCTCAGTTTCACGCTCCTAAAGGGGGCCGCCGAGGGGTATGACACGGTCCCGTTCGCGGCCGTTTGGTAGGAATGTCTCAAGCGGTTTGCTTGTTTTCTGTCCCAACATCTTTCGCTTTCGGAGCAGATTTGAAGCATGTCTCGAGCGAGACGCTCATGTTCACCCCCAGGTGGGCCAGATTTTGAGGATGTCTCGTTCGGTTTGCCTGTTTTGGTGGCCAGACTCGTGGGATCAGGAGGCCACAGAAAGACTCAAGAGGCCACAAGATGTCCCAAGAGGCTCCAGGAGGCCCCAGGAAGCTCCAGGAGGCCTCAGGAAGCCACAGGAGGCCCCAGGAGGCCCCAGGAAGCGCCAGGAGACTTCCGAAGGCAACAGGAGGCCCCGAGAGGCCCCAGGAGCAGGAGGCCTCAGAAGGCAACAGGAATGGCTCCAATCCCATGTGTTTTACGTATGCTCCTATAGATTTGGCCTCACCTGGAGCACGAATCCTTGACGTTATACGTATGTTTCTATAGATTGTCCTTCTCCTGTGAACACAATCCTAAATGTTTTACTTATGTTCCTATATGTTGGGCCTCTCCTGGGGCACGAGTCCTTGGTGCTTTACGTGTGTTCCTATAGATTGCCCTTCTCCTGTGGCTCCGATCCGCAATGTTTTTATGTACGTTGGTTGCTATAGATTGGGCCTCTCCTGGGGCACGAAGCCTCCCTGGGAGGTCCCAGGAGGCCCCAAGAGGCTCCTGGAGGCCCCAGGAAGCCCCAGTAGGTTTCAGGAGGCCCCAGGAGGCCCCAGGCTCATGCGCAGAGACGCGCTCGTACTACTGAGGCTCATTCACACTCCAATTCATTCGCAGTTAGATTCATGACCAGACCGCCACAACTGAAGCCCGTTTATATTCGAAAGCTCTTGCGCATAGACATTCACGGCGGACAGGTCCATGCGAGTAGATGCACATATGGGGAGCTCCACGCAGTGAGTAATTGACGACGCCAGATCTGAGGAAGGATGCGGCTCGAACAGCTTGATGTAAGCAGAGGCCTGGCTTGCACCCCAAGCTGTGCCCCCTTGGGGCTCCATGCGGCGGTCGACGACCTCCGCCCCCGCCCGCCTGCATCAGTGCCCCTCCTCCCGCCCACCTCCTCCTCCGAGGAGTCGAGGTGGTTCGGGGAGGTTCGAGGGGGTAGGGCATTGGACAATCGATGCCGTCTCTCGGGCCCCTTGTGGAGCTTCTGGAGGCCTCCAGAAGCCTCGGGAGCCGTTAGCAAGGACGCAGTCGACGGGGGGGGGGGGGCAGACCACACTCCCATTAGACGCCCTCGGGTGGCCCCGGAGGGCCACCCCGCGTCCCAGGAGGGCGCCTCTCGGCCTCCCGTCGGTCGCCCCTCTCCCGCTGCCGTCCGCCCGTGGGACCTGCCTGTCACCCCCGGGCCATTTCCTCCTTTTCGGACGGTCCCAGGGCGGCACGAGGAAGGCACAGACGGCCACAGCGACTTTTTGCGGTGTCGGCGGTCTGGGCCGCCCGCCTCAGCGATGGCCCCCCCGGGCCCGTCCCGAAGCGCGTTCCGACGAGGACCTCGAGGCGGACCCAGCCGTGGCGACGAGGAGGTCCCGAGGGGGCCAGGAACGTCCGAACGCTTTGCACGTCGACCCTCGGGCTCCGAAGTCCAGTCACCATCGATTCTTGGATCATCCTGGCTGGCTTCTCACATCAAATCGGTGTCTGACGATCCCGGGGCTCGAAACGGCCTCCCAGAGGCCGAACCTGAGGACAAGAACTGGATCGTCGATCTGAGGGCTGCGCCTGGAATCCCAGGTAGAGGAGCGAGCACACGAGCTCCGCCGAGCCCGCGTCCTCGGGGCCGAGGCCGATGGTGATCTTGCGCGCCCTGCAGCCCTCGGCGACGTCGAGCAGCGTGGTGATCGCGCCCTTAGTGGCGCGCTCCGTGTCGCCTCCGTGTGCGGTGACGAGGAGGAGGAGGAGGAGGAGGAGGAGGAGGAGGAGGAGGAGGAGGAGGAGGAGGAGGACGACGACGACGACGACAACGACGACGACGACGACTGCGGCGAGGATCCAAAAGAAACAGGATTTTGGATGCCCCTGGCCACTGGGGCGCCAGGACTTTTTGGAGGCTTCTGGAGGCCCTCGGATACCCACGGAGACCCCGCAGGGACCTCAGGAGGCCCTGCAGGGACCTCTGGAGACCTGCGGCGATCTCCGCCGACGCTGCCGACATCGACGTCGTCGTGGCGGGTCGTCGCGCGCGCCCGGACGCGGCTCGAAAACACCTGCCAGGAGGGGCCCCAGGAGGGTCTGGGCGACTGTTTTTGAGCGCATGTTGGTCGGACGACGGCGACGGCGACAGCGACGACGACGACGACGTGGATATGTTGTTGTTTTCTTTTACGCTTCTGACCCTTTCTGGGCATCTGGAACCCTCCAGAGGCCTCTGCATACCTGAGCGTCGGCTCCCCATACTTCCTGGGCCGTGATCTGTTTCAATGCGCAGGATTTTCCATTGATGGCGTCTGGGGGCCGTTTTTGGGCTCTGGGACCATCCAACATGGGTCGGGGACCAACAAAAATCAGCGTTGGATGGGTCGAGACCTCTGGGGTCAATGGGTTGAAAAAATCAATGCGTCGGAGTTGCGGGTACCTGCGCGACGACGACCACCACCACGACGACGACGAAGATGACGACATGCATCGAAATCATTGGGAGCTTCTCGCTGTTATGTTGAGCCTCCGCAGGCCTCAGAGGACCTATGGACCTATGGAGACCTCTGCGCGCCACGACGACGACGAGAACGGCGACGAAGACGACGACCACGACCAAAACGACGACGATGACGGTCATCGTATCGGAAATGTTTGGCTCCTGGATAATTTCGTCGCCCCGGCTGGACGCAGCTCGAACAACCGGCCAGGCCTGGACCGCGGGAGGGGTCGGATGACCGATTCTGAACGGATTGTCCTGACGACGACGAGGACGAGCACGAGGACGAGGGCGAGAACGGTTGTGACGACGACTACAGCGACGGTGACGACGAAGACGACGACGACGGCGACTACGAGGACGAGGACGACGACGACGCTGACGCCGACGGCGGCGGTGGCGGCGATGGCGGCGGCCAAGACGACGAAGAGGACGACGACATCGATGCTCGAACCTCGAACCTCGGAGAATTACTGGGTCCTCGATGCAGGATCACCGAGCCTGGCTAAGCTGACGTTCCCCCTTCAGGACGAGATCTGCTCGGAACTCACTGCGCCGCCACGGCCAGCTCAGCCGCGCTGGGCCGTGGCGACGACGGCGGCGACGACGACGACGTCGCTGAGCAGGGCCTGCTCCGTCGCCGTCGGCCTCTCCGCGGCTGGCCCCGAACTTCGCGTAGAAGATCCGCCTTGCGCCCGGCAGGATTGGGCCCGCCCTCCTGCCCTCCATCCCTGCCGAATTTTGCCCCCGACCCTCGAGGGTCGAGGCCCTCCGACTCGAGGGGGAAGTGTCGGGCCTCCGGGGACGTCCGGGGACGTCCGAGGGTCAGGATCCGGGGCGGGAGCAGAACTTGCCATCCATCCGTCCTCCTCCTCCTCCTTCTCCTCCTCTTCCTCCCCCCCCCTCCTAGGCGTAGGTGCTGCCACGCCATCACCGTTTGCCAAGCAACTGGGGTTGGGTAGGGGCCCTCTGTGTCGCGAGTCGGCCTCCGCGTGTCGTGGACGCACCTGGCTGGAGCCACAAACCCTTCCCTGCGCCCTGCCCTCGCTCCAGGGAAGGAGGAAAAAGGAAGGAGCGAGGGAACGATGATCCTCCTCCTCCTCCTCCTCCTCCTCCTCCCAATCCCCCTCCTTCTCTCCCTCCCCTCCTCATCTTCGTCGTCTGCCTCCGATCCCCCCTTCTCACCCTCCCCCTCCTCCAGCCCTCGTCCTTGCACAAAGATCTTTTTTCCTCGTCAAACGTGTCACTATGGTGGTCCAGGGTTTCGCTTGAGACTTCCCTATCGGCTATGATCCTGGAACTGTTGTTCCAGCAGCTTCACGGTTCGAGGGCGAATCGACTTCAAAACGTGGCTCTCACTGTAACGCCGTGCACACTCGTCGGACTCATTCATAGCAAGAGCATGTTAGTTGTTAGTCATTGAATCCTTTTCAAAACAAGGGTCTTACCTGAAACGCACACCAGTTGTATGACCCCCAAACACAACACGCACAACTGTTACAAGGATGGCAACAGGCTCATTATTCAAAATGGTGCTCTCGCAATGTATCTCCTCAGATGGTGCTCTTTGTAATGACATGAACTGCTTGCAGGGGATCCCGAGGATGAATTTGGTTCGGCAGGGTGTGCTGCAGCGTCGATGATGCATCCTGGGCTTACCGCGGTCCCCCTCCTGATACGAGGGAAGAAGGGGAAAGGAGGGAGGATAAGTACCTGCATGCTTGTGCGGAACATGTGAACACATGCTTGCAAAAGCTACACGCGGCCAGTATAACAAGACATGCGTGTTTTGGTCCAATTCAGCGACGAGGAAAAGGAGGAAGACAAGGAGGGGTGGAGGAAGGGGATGGAAGATAAGAAAGGGAAAGGCAAGAAGAGGAGGGAGATGAGGGAGATGAGGGAGGAGGAGGAGGAGGAGGCGAGTATTTCATCAGCAACAATCACCAGCACGCCATACCGCATCCACCACTCGAGCCTGACCCATGCGCGACGCGACTCTCAACGTTCAAGCTCCCACCCACCAAGACGATTACATACTTCATACTCAAGGACGCCAAGCCGGCAGACACACACCTTTCTCCACGGCGACCACGACCAGACGATCAACCACGACTACTGCCTGGTCGAAGCATACAAGACCTTGCGACGCGCTACTTGTACCACGAGAACTTTAGATTAGCAGTCAACCTCACTAACAAACACCCCACCTCCATGATCAGCGCACTTACAAGAACAATGAACGACACAATCAAGCAAACCATCATCACGGTATCACAATGACTCCACTCATGCCGAGAATACGACGAAGAAATTCAATACGACTGGGCAATACGCATACAAGACACAACACGGCTCTTACAGCAAATATGCAACCCAATCGACACGCTGCACAATGACCACAACCTCCCCACATCTGCCTCAAGCTCCACAAGCAGCGACCACCTTTCGGAAGACTCACCACAACCAACACGACAGGTAGACCCTGCTACACAACAGCAAGCTACTACCACGCCTGCCCAATAACCAACATACATAAAAACACATACCACGCAGCAGCCCAATACCGCCCGAGTGATTCGCAGCCCGATCCACCCACCCCCACCAAGACTCAAGATCCCCGTGATCTGCCCACCTCCCGAAGCAACAACGGCACAAAAATGGCTCACCGAAATACCAGCATCAAAGCTAGTACCACAGATACCCTGAAAATCTGCTTCCGACCAAAAGCACCACCGATCCATTTACCAGACGGTCAGACAGGCTCAACACCGATACCCCAACACACGGATCACATCGAAACAGACTATGTCGAAGACGCCACCGATCAGATAGATATTCATGCAATGCCTAGTCACTATACGGCACCACCAGCAATAATTCCAACAATGCTTTGAATAAATACGACAATGCAACATGCGCGAATGCAGAACTCTGGCAGCGACTGGAAATTACCACGGCATTGGCAGCACCGATTATGCTCACGCCCAAGTTTCCAGTGCCAGAGCACAAAGCACCACCAACACCTAAGCCAAGGTTCCCCACCAGACAGACAGACGGTGGAGACTACTGGGGGTAGAACAAGTTCCCACACACAGACTATCCATGCGACAGCATACAAGAGGCACACTACCGGCGCAAAATGGGATGTTTGGATCCACGACCTCACATCTCCCATCACATGAACCTCATGTGCACTGGGTACCGCATCACAACTGACAAGGGCTACTGGGAGCTGTCTAGGACCACGCAACCTCCACATCAGCCACCGCCAGAACTACAAGGACTAACAGAACACGGATTACTGAGCGGCCTCTCCCCCCCTAATCGCACAGTTGCTGGCATCCTGGTCACTCAAGTGATTCGTATCTCATATTTCTCTTGCTTCTAACTTGTGATGCTCTGGGCCTCTGACCTCTCCTCCCCCCTCCGATGTGATTTCCTGCTAGGGCCTTGGGGGATATGTGGGGCCTGGTGTCCGCTTGCGGACACCAGGCGCACGTGCTTCTCTGGCCTTGGCTCGGCACTGCACCTGCTCCCCCCTCCCTATTCTGGGTCGTTCTGCCTGCTGATGGGCTGTCCAGGGACGCTGTTTCTGCCTGTCGCCATCTCTGTGACTACTGTTGCCCCATCCTTGATGATTAGTTTCTTGATTGCGGTAGGGAATCTGAGTTGGGAGGGGGGGCCTCGGGCACCCTACGCTGCTCACAATGAATTTGCTCTGCTCAAACGCACTTTGCTTATTGATGCTGCCAGAACTTTTTCAGCCGATTGTGTACTCTACCGTTTAAGCCCCCCTGGATACAAAAGAATGCCCCCCGATTTAACCGACATAAGTAGCAGCCCCACGTGCTGCCACTGGCATCGCCAGAGCACAGGCCAACCAAGTACACTGTTCCAACCTATGGTACCCAGGGTCCGTGCTAAACCCGAAAATAATTTCAAAACAGCATGGGGGTCCCGAGGCCCTGGAGGACTGGGGTGGAGATGAAAACCCTGGGTAGCAGCCCGAGAATTGCCGCCACGCGTGTACCCTCTTTACTGTTAATGTTGCAGCTTTAGCCTCGGTCATCCTGCACTCCACTCTACCTCCGTTCCTCTGCCTGCTCGGACGACCAACTCTCAAAGCCTCACCGGCACATGCCTTGGCCATTTAACCAGACCAGCTTACTACCGCCATGCTGGTTCTTAGTACACAGCGCTACCTAGGCAAGCCACTTCGCACGCGCTAGACTTCTCTGCACAACTGTTTAGCCGACAGAAGCATAACTGGGGGCACGGATGGGTGGGTGAAGAAACAGTACTGACAATTATCGCCGTTTTGGTCTTCGCCAGGCGCTCGCTCTCAAGCCATACGCATTCGCCCACGCTCCATCACGATAGGCCAGCCTAGTTACGCGCCAGCCCGCCAGTGTACAATCGCCACACCAGCTTCTCTCGTCATAGCTGCTATACCCGTCGCCTCTCAGATATTATCATGTGTTTATTCAGTGATTACACGCCTTTACTTACTATGGTGGTGTTCGGGAAGGGGGTTAGAGGCTCAAATGGAGGTGGGGGGGAGGTGGAATCACGATAAGCTGGCCTAGCTACACCCGTCGCCTGCCAGAATTTGTCATGTTCACCCTTGTCATTTTTATCCTTGATTGCACGCAAGGACTTGCTATGATGGTGCTCGGGTGGGGGTTTAGTGTATCAGTATTGGTTGAGGGGACTTCGGCGATGAACTTATTCTGCGCACCATCTCACTGTTCATAGGCCTGCTACTGTACACGCGTAGTTCGTCCTCTCCCTCGTTCGGTGCATCCTTGCTTTATCATGAGCTTTTGCGACTAAGGATCTCATCCGTTCGGTCCCTCCTCCTGCATACCGCCTTTCTCTGGCGTGTACTCTGAGCCCTTGGGGCCCCTCTTCTTTTCTAATGGCCTGTCCTTGTCTGCTGTGCTAACCAAGTTGACTTTGTTTTCCGCTCCGCTTAGCCAGCGTACGCTTTTTTCACACGTCCAGTAAAGCTCCAGGCTGCATCCCTAAGTTTGCGCAACGTCAAAGATGAGGAGGGATATGGCGGGAGGGAAAGTGGCCGGCGGCGGCGGAGGCGAGGGGGGGGGGGTGAGCGGAGAGCGAGGCAAAGATGAGAAGCAATAGGAAGGAAAACAGAAGAGGAGGGGGAGGAGGAGGAGGTGGAGGAGGAAGAGGGAGGGAGGGAGGGGGGGAGGGATGGATGAAAGAGGGACGTAGGAAGGAATGAGGATGAGGAGGGATGAAGAGGAGGATGAGGAGGAAGAGGAGGAGGAGGAGGAGGAGGAAAAAGGGGATGGGACAGGGCAAAAGCAAAAGGGAGAGAGGGAGGACGCAGGAGAAGAGGAGGGATGCAGGGTGAGAACGTTTTGGGCAGAACTCCGCACCTGAAGCCCACTTCGGTGCCCGCCTCCTCATCTCTGGACCGCAGCTCGTAGGGGGCTAGCTCCCTCCTCGAGGAGGGGCCTGAAGGGGGCAAGACGCGTGTCCCTCTGGGGTGGACCTACAAGTATCTACAAGTAGGGGAAACCCTTTTCGAAACTGCCTGCCTGTCTGGATCCCCCCATGCATCTGCCGTTTACCCGAAGAAGCGGTGGTGAGCAGCGCGCACGAGACATTATCAGATCTCGGGGGGCGGCGAGGGGGGGGGCGAGGGGGTACCTCTTATGGTAGGGTGGTTGTCGGAAGAAGAGGAAAGAGGAGAGAAGGATAGACGGAGGGAGGTAGGAGCAGGAGGAGGAGGAACGCGGATGAGGAGGGTTACTGGGAGGAGCCGAGGAGGCGAGCAGACAGATCGGAAACCACCTTTCATGAACCCCCGCTCCTTGAAGGTGGGTAGCGCTGCTGCGTGTAAGGCCCTCCCCCCGGCGGCAAACCGCCGGGGGGAGGGCCTATATGGCCATCCATGTCGTCAGCTCCCTCGTCCGGGTTCTCTCCGCACGGGGTGAAACCCGCGACCCGGAGGCACTCAGTGCCGTCGCAGGCCGCGACCTCAGCCGGGAGTCAGACCAAGTCGCGCAGCTTGCCCCCTGACTGCTTCCTCTCATACCGCGCCATCTCAGGGTGGATCGGCAATGCGTTTCGAGAGCTCGCGTTGATAAAGGTGTCTTACTTTCGATGCCCAGTTGATGTGTCCAACAAGATAGCTCGAGCCCAGGGTTCGCGGGAGTAGGAGGCGACAGGAATGTTACCAGAGGGCGGAATTGAGACGACATGAGACGCTGGCACGCCAAGGTCCGACAGAGATCAGGTCCTCGAGCTCACGCCTCAGGCCTAGAAAGAGATCGATCAGATCGCAAATCCGCTCATGCTTCGTAGCACGATACTTAAAGCATGCTTGAACCCCAATTGCAACATACTCAACCACAAGGTTCTGTGCCGGTGTCAGGAGCAAGACTGGAGAGGCACACAGCTATCTTGCCATATCTGCAACGCACTTGGCCGACAGACGAACTCAGACCAACTCACGTAATATGTGTTATTTGACGCCACTGATCCCAAGATGATTTCATAGAACATATAATGCGATTTGGGCTCACGTGTTTTACCAGACTTCCCGATTTCCGCTCCCTGCAATCTGGACGGACTGTGGCTGCTGGCCCCCAAATATACAGCTTTCCGAGCTCAGGGCAAATCATTGACGATATTCGAAGCTGCCATGAGGGAAAGGGAAAGGGGTCATGAAGGAGACAGCTCCTGGACCATCAGGCTTTCCCTGTAGACGTTTCTTTATGCCGACTCGTTTCTTGACGGCCCCGGCGTCCAGAAAGGATTCTGGAAGCAAGCGAAAAACCTGAGGAGCCCTTTCCCTCAGGATCTGTTCATGCCTAGACACCCGATGTTCGATTTTTTCAATGCGAGGTCCCTGGAGCTCCGGACAATTTCCTGAGGATAAATGTTTTGTCGAAAATCGCTCCTGTCAGATGAAAAACCTGAAAACGACGCTCAAACGCCGAAAACAAAGAAACAACTCGGTCCGGACTTGTTCAGGGCGTCGGAAGCCCGGGTCCTCCATCATAAGACCTGGTCTGGCCAAGGAGGTGGTCTGTCAGGGTGCGCCAGATGAGGCTTACGGTAGGCGGCGCACGTGTAAGCAGGGCGTGTCCCAAGGCGCCGCCGTCGACGCAGGTCGGAGCGATCGAGGGGCCGCTCCAGGGTCGACACTGTTTTTGCTTTGATGTTTCGTTGCCTCTGCCACGTGGCAAGAAACTACTCTAGAAGATCAACCAACTCCGTTTTGCAAGCCGACCATCCAAACAAGACCTCTAGGATGAAGGGGAAACGACATCCAAAATCAAGGTCAAACTTTTATTGTGAAGATGCTCGATCCTCCAAAACTTCGAACTGAGACGTGATCCCGCTACGGGCACAAGTGTCCGCAAACATCCGACGTCGTGATTTGTTGACCACCGTGAAGCTGTAAACACACGGATTCACGTGTGGTCATGCTGTACATCGGGGGGGCCGGGCCACAGCGCTGGATACACATGCGGATGCAAGGCATGCCCGGCTATGCAAGGGCCGAGCGCTGGAAAGACATCTAACCCCGTGTCTACCTACCCATCCCTCGCCCAGGCGGGCCGTGTCATGTGTACCCAACTTTCTGGTAAGCCTCGTCACCAAACCTCTCGACACCTTCCCAAGCAACTGGTCTCTCGCCCCAGGACCGCTTCCTGCTGGCCCCCAGAGCACGAGAACGGGTATCCCCAGACATCGGGCACTTCGTTTTCTGTTCGATACGTGGCTCCCCAACCCGTTCGACTCACCCCTTCCCCAGGGAACCTTTTCCCCCAGAAATCAAGAACAACAAAGAACTGGCTTGGATCTTTTCGAGGCGCCAGGTGTCTGGGACGCAGGAAACGACGAAAGACTTCCGTCCTGATTCGTTCAAAAAGGTCGATTGTATGGGCGTGCACAGGGGACACGCTACATCCAGACCTCCAGGGGGCTTACATAGAGAGATCGAGGCCGCTGGCTTCATCCAAAAGTGAGGTGGGCCTCCAGAGATGAGCACAGAAATCGAGAGATCCCCAGAGATTCGATGGCCCCACCGAAGTCTCGCCCCTTTGCCCAGGGCCGGCTTTTCATCTCGAGTTGTGTTTGACGCCGTGGGGCCCGGCGAGGGCCCCCGGAGGCCGAAAACGGCGAAATACCTCCGTGCTGCGTTTACGCAGGAATTACGTCGGAGGTCTGAGTCTCAATAGATCTCGAGGGATCAATGCTCAAGAGATCGAGGGATCGAGGTTTGAATCGAAAGAACGGAAGGGTCACAGGTTCGAGGGCTCGAGGCTTGTTGGCTCGAGTATCGAGGAATCGAGCATCGAGGAATCGATTTTCCAGAGATCGGGTATCGAGGGATCGACAGAACGAGGACCGAGGGAGCGAGGAATCCAAGATCGAGGGGTCGAAGATCGAGGGATCGAGGAGAGATCTAGGTGGGCCTCTGGAGGCCTCCAGCCGCCTTGACCGCCAGGGAAACGGCTCGGGGGACGAGTAACCCGCCCAGCGGGAGCCCGCCCAGAGGAGCGCAAGCCTCCAGAACGAAAGTCGGCCTCTGCTCTGGATGTTTCTTCACGCGTTCCGGTTGTCCCGATCCTCCCAAATAAACATCTTCGCCCCTCTGGCAGCAGCTTCACCGAAAGAATGGATGCGTTCAATCCGCGGGCCCAACAGACCTAGAGTTCGGGCGCATCGGCCAATTCGTTGGAATGCCAGGGGCGCCCGACGTGATCTCTCTGCCATGGGGATGCTCCAGGAGGCCGCAATATCGGTCCTGCCCAGACAATCCGGCATGTTCGAAACGGAGGTTCGAGGAGGAGGAGGAGGAGGAGGAGGAGGAGGAGGAGGAAGGAGGGAGGAGGGAGGCCGAGGGAGGAGGCAGGAGGGGGGGAAAGGCGGGATGAGCGAGGGGGAGGGGGACGAGTAGGAAGATGAAGAAGATGAGGGAGGACGAAGAGGACGAAGAAAAGCAAACTGTCAAGGTCGGAAGCTCGAGCGCCACAGCGGTCCCCTAACCCCTCCCAGAACATGTGGGTGCTCGAGCGCCAAAGCGGGCCTGACCACCACACAAGCTCCTCCCATAACATACGGTTGCTCGAACGCCACAGAGGGCCCGACCAGCGTCTCGCATCTCCCCCCATAACATGTGGCACGCTCCGATTCGAAACGAGCGCAACACATATCCGTTCACTTGAACGGCACGGCGCTTCCGACATCTAGGGCTCAAGAAAAACATATCTTGGCCCGCGTACGTATGCTGATCCGAGTCTTCTGCCGCCAGGGAGTAGTTCGTTCTAAACGGAGGCCTGACTTTTTGAGTGAAGACTCTAGATCTTTCTGGCTGTCCACCGCCAGGACATCGCTTTCGTCTCGGGGCGCTGTCCCCCCCGCCCTGGATCGGCTTCCGGTGACCATGGGGACCTGAGAGCGGCCCCTGGAAGCCGAGCTGAAAGAATCGATCCTGAGGAGGCCTCGGAAGGTGTCCAAGGGTCCCCGGGTCCACGGGCCCGTGCCTCGGAGCCAAATCGAGGCGCCAGGTGCCTGGAACATCGGCCCATCACGGATCGAGCGTGAAGCGAGCTCTGTCCCCTGCGCGGCCCGACCGAGGCGCGAAGCCAACGGCGGGTCGCGGACTGGGGTGGATGGACCTTGAGCCCTGGCCATCGTTACTAACTAGCAGAACGAAAACACTGATTGGCCAACTGAAGCAACACCATGAGCACGACGCAGATGCGCATTCACTCCCACCCCCATCCTCATCAGCCGAGCACTTTTCCGTGGAGGTGGTTTGGTTTGCGCTGTAAAGCTTTACTCATGTAGACAATTGCCACAGCCTCGCAACAGTCAAGTGCCGAAGAGCGAGGAAATTGAAGTGTCGTAACTATGTACAACGTCCCGTATGTCCCACTTAATCCTGCGACCAAGGACAAGAACACACTGACGAGCCATACAAAGTGTCAACTAGCAATTGCCAATACATTACGAAGTGCCAACGATGCGACGACAACAACCGCTGTTGGCGGAAGGGCGACGACAAGTCTTCCCACCTCGCTGAAAAAAAAAACACCTGTACATGCGTGCGCCTGCTGATCCAAAGTGTACACGAATTCGGAGAGCGCGTCAGCTTCTCTCAGGGTTCGGCCAGGGACGACCAGACAATCCCAAAGGCTCCTAGGCAGCCCAGTATGATCGGGTGCCGACAAGAGCGTCCTAGGCTCTAGGGGGGTGGGGCGAGGGGGGCGGCCTTCCACGAAGGCACCCCGAGGCCTCTTAGAAGCGCCCCGAGGCTCCTGAGACGGCTTCTTGGAGGCGCGAGGGGCTCTGCGTTCTGGGAGGCCCCCCTGCCTGCCCAAAGCAGCCCCCTCCCCCCCCGCACCGACCCCCCCCCCTCTGGCTGCGCTCCGCACCCTCCCCGCACCCCCCGCCACGTGGCTCCCCGGGCAGGCCTGGGCTCCGCCCCCGGGGACCGGCGCTTCAGCCCGAGCCGCTCCCGGACGGCCGCGCCCCCCCGGGGCAGGGCGGGGGCACCCTGGCAGGCCGACGGCGGCCCCGAAGCCCTCCCGTGGTGTGGCTCTTCTGCCAAGGAGGGAGGAGGGAGGAGGGAGGAGGAGGGAGGAGGGAGGAGGTCATCGGCTGCACGCACGAGTAACCCTGGGCAAGAGTGACCTTTGGTGCGCGCCTCTTGGGGGGCGCGAGGGGGCCAAACCCAAGCGCGCAGGCTGCTGCCATCGTGCCGGACTCAGCGATCGGGGGGGGCCCCCAGTGGGCCCGCACTAGAAAGTCACTCCGGCGAAGGGTCACTCTTCTACGCGTAGTCGAGGTCAGGGCCGGGCCAGGATCGCCTCTCTTGCCGGCGCCCGGGATGAGGCCACACTGCATCATCGAGTGGGTGACGGACGGGCCGCCCAAGCTGGCACGGAGGGCCCCCCGCTGCGGGGGGGCGCGTTTGTGCTCCGCGCCGGGGCGCCCCGTCGCCGGCCCAGGCGACTCACGAGCGGCACGCCTAGGGCTCGGGGACCGGTCAGGAGCGTCCCCACGCACGCCGCGGCGGGGAGAATGCCGGCAAAAAAAGTCTGCCAGCGCCGGGCGCGACGAGGGCTCACGCATGGATGGTCGAGCTACGGCCAGTACCTGAGGACCGTTTTTTTTTTTTTTTTGTTTTCTCTCTCTCTCTCTTTATCACTCCCTCTCTCTCTCTCTCTCTATCTTTTTGCGGGTGGACGGGGAACTGTGCGCGTGTACCGATCCTGGCAAGCTCACCTCGGCGGCGCGCCCAGGGGGGAAGGCAGAGGAGGCGGGCATTCTCAGAAGGCTCAGAAGGCCTCTGGCCTTCTGAGCAGCGTTCTGAGCCCTCTCCGAAGACACCGACGGCTTCTCAGAAGGCCGGAGGGCTTCCGGGAAGCGCAGCTTTCTGAGAAGGCCTGCCTCCTCTCACTTTCCCCCCCTGGGCGCGCCGCCGATCATCCGCGGCCCATCTCGGCCCAGGATCGGTGCAGAGGCCATACTGGCTTGGCCAGGTTGCATGCGCACACGTGAATACCATCGCCCTGGCAATGATAGGCTGGGGCAGACCAAATCGGCTCTCTCGCGAGAGAGAAAGAGAGAGAATCGGCTCCGAGTATGCGCGTCGGAGGTGACAGCCCTAGGCAGACAAACGAAAAGTTGTTTCTGCTGGCCAGAGGCCTCTCGGTCCGTGGGCCCCATCCAGGGCCAGACTCCTGGTTGCTGCCTTTTCTTTCGAGCGGAGGGGGGCGACTTGACAGCAGGTCTCAGAAGATGAGCTTCAAGCAACGCCCCTCCTCCCTTTGCGGGCCGCCCGCGTGGGTGGTGCACATGGGCAGCGCGCGTGGGAACACCTCCCTTCGAGAAGCCACTGCGAGTTCTCTGGCGGCCACGCTGGAGATCCTGCAGGGAGCCCTGGGAACGCGTCGGGAAACCTGGGGAGCTCTGGGATGGCCTTTGGAAGCCCTGGACTTAGAGGCTCTGGGAAGGCCTGGGAGGCGCTGGGAAGATCCCGGGAAGCCGCCAGGAGCCTCATGTGAAGACTGGGCGGCGCCTGGGAGGCTCGTGAACTCCCAGAAGGAGCCCAGGAAGCCTCCAGGAAACCCATGTGAAGCACCTGGCAAGACCAGCGCAGCCCAAGCAGGCCTGACGGGGAGGTCTTGCGGAACCTGCAGCCGGCGACATACAAGAGTGATCCTGGGCAAGAATGACCGTTGGCGCGCGGTTTGCATATCGTTGCATGGGATGCGACGGTGTCGGCCTTCGTGCTAGGGTTTGGCCCCCCCGCGCCCGCCCGAAAGCCGCGCACTGTAGGTCACTCTGGCGAAAAGTCGCTCTCACGTGTAGCCGGTACGGGAACCTCCTGGGAAGCTCGAGGGGGGCTTCCAGGAAGATATGAGCAAGAAGACACGAGTCGTCACCTAGCTGCTGTCGGTCCCGTTGTCCTGCAGGCCGTCCTCCTCCGCAGACGTGGAGCACTCGGAGGTGGCGGTGCAGGTGTAGTCGGACCTGAGAGGCCCAGAGGATGCCCACCCCCCAGGGAGCCTCCACAGAGGTAAATCTGAAAGAGCCAGAAACAGAAACATCTGAAATGAAGGCTCAACGTCCAATCCACATGATTTGCCCAATTCCATTCTGCGGTTTTCCCCCAGGAGCAATGCTTGCACTCAGGGGCTATACCTCCTCTTCGAGGGCAACTGAGCCCAAGGCTCGGTCCGGCCAGTCTTGTGGCCGCCCGTCGCCGCCCGTGGCCGCCGTCCGTCGCCGTAACTGGGCCCCGGTGTCGGTCCGGCTGGCTTGTGGTCGCCTGTCGTCGCCCGTCGCCGCCGTCCGTCGCCGCCACCTGCGCCGCGCTGCTCTGCTTTGTCTTGCTTTGCATTCCTTTGCTTCGATTTGCATCCCACTGCATCGCTGTGCATTGCTTCGCATTCGCTGCGCATTGCTTCGCATTCGCTGCGCATCGCCTCGTATCGCCTTTCATTGCCTTGCATTGCTTCGCGTTGCTTTGAATTGCTTTGTATCGCATTACATTGCTTTGCATTGCTTTCTGCGCCATGAGATTGCACCACAGGGATTGCACCACCTAGATTGCACCACCCAGATTGCGCCGCATATATTGCACGAAATGACTGTTTGGGGCCTACGCTGGCTAAAATGTGACTCCGCCAGTAAAGCTGATACTCCAAAGTGCAAGTTTCTGGTTATCTGGGGAAGATCAATATCGAATGAACAGATGCAGCATGGAGGTCGAGTCTCCCTTCTGGAGGTTCTGGATCCTCTTGAGCCGAGGGGCACCACCCGATCCAGGCTGAACCGCGGCCCGCGGCCTGAATCCTGGTCGGGTCAGCCCGATCCACACAGGAGCGCGGAACGCCCTGCCGATCCACTTGCGACGAAAGAGAGGGATCCTGAGAGAAACTGCCCATGAGAGCCAAAACATCTGGGAGCCTCCAAACTGAAGATCCTCGGACCCCCGCTTGCTGAGGACGAGAAGGCGCGTGAGATGACGGGCTGTCACCCTTCCCCCTTTCCCCGCCCCTGGGGCCCAAGAGTCCTGTTGGAGGGGTTGGCATGGGGCTTCGAGCTCCCCAACGCCCCTCCGGGGCCCTCGGAGCCTTGAAAACAACCCTCCGTGGACACCAAGATGCCCAAGAAATATAACTAGCCTCAAGACGGCCCAAGACGCCGAACAAGGTCCCCAGTAGGACCCCTAAAAGGGCCTCAAGAGGTAATTACCAAACATTGATGATGTTCGCGGTTTCGCCTTGGCGGGCGTCTGCAAGCCCCACAAGGCGCGACGGGCCCCCCAGACTAGCCCAAGACGGCCCTCAAGAGGGCCGCAAGAAGGCTCCAAGATAGGCCCAGTGGGGAGAACCCGCCGGGACCCTCCCCGCAAGATAACCCCCAAGACCCCCAGAATGTCCCCAAGGGGCCCGCGAGAAGCCACCAGAGGGCCCCCCAAAACCCCCGGGAGCGTTGAAAAAGAGGCCGCCACCTACGCCTCCAAGAAGCCCCTGAGACACCCCGCAACACAAACTGAGGAAGAGAAGGACGAATCAGCAACAACTACACGCAGGCAGCACGACAGGAGGCGTCAAACCACATACGCACATAAAATCCACCGACCCCTTGGGGTTCATCGGCGTGTGAAACGCTTCCCCCTCCCCAAACCCCTCCTCCGGGACCCCGGTCTGGTCAATTTGGATGGAGGGGGTCCCCCTGGGGACCGCCCGAACGCGCCATGGGGGACAGGGGGCCCCAAAACGGGCCAAGAGGGCTCGAAGAGGGCCCTCGGAAGGTCCAAGAGGGGCACGAGTCGCCGCAAGATCGCGCCAAGACGCACAAGATTGGCCCCAAACGGCCCCAGAGGCCCCCAAGACGCTCCAAGAAGTCGCCACGGGGCGTTCCAAGATGCCTTCAAGGAGCACGTATCGTCCCACTCCTTTTGGAATGCCTATATGTTTGGCACATTCGCCTCTTTGGCCCTCACGTGGCCCACCCAGGTAGAAGCGGCCTTCAAGATCGACCCAAGACGGGCCAGCAGGCCTCCAAGAAGGCCCCAAAACGGCACACGAGGGTCCCAAGACGGCTACAGAAGCCTCCAAGACGGCCGAGGAGGCCCCGAAGACGGCCCCAAGGGGAGGCCTAGAGGGGGAGCCTGAACGGACATTTCGAGCTCCCGTCCCCCCCAAGAGCCTCCAAAAAGCTTCCAAGAGGTCCCCAGAGAGCGCCAAAAGGGCCCCCTAAGAAGCACCCAGACGCTGCCATGAGGCCCCCAACAGGTTCAAACACTGCCTCCATGACGCTCCCGACGCGCCTCCCACGCGACCCCATCAGCCATCCGAACGGCGTCAATCCCGCAACCCAGACCCAAGAGGCCCACCAGACCCTCAACGGACCCACAGGAGGCCCCCACTGGCAGGCATCTATATGGGGTCGGCGGTGCGGCGTAATCCCGAGAATCGGAAGCCGCACAAACTCCTCATCTGGTGGTCGACGGAACGGCGCAAATCTCTTGAATCCAAGTCCAGAAGTGACGTCTTGCCGGGGGCAGGTCGCGGAGTGGAGCGGATGCAACGTATCCCGTACGTCTAACGATCGCATAACTGCGACGTACGGCATGATTTCACATTATCATGTATCCCCCCCCTGCCCCCGCCTGGAGTCGCGACACATCGGCGGATCAAAGTACCCCCCCATTTCCCGATTGGCTTTAAAAGAGTTTCGCGTTCTCTCCTGCTTCGACTCTGGGGGGCCCATGACGGCCCAAGCAGCCTCCAAGATGGCCCCAAGACGACCCCAGAGGCCCCAGGAGGGCCACAAGACGGCCCAAAGATTGCCCAAAGAGGCCCCTCAGACGGCTCAAGAGGCACCCAAGACGGCCCAAGAGGACCCCGAGAGAGCCAGAATGGGGGCCCCGAGGCGCCCTCAAGACGGCCTTCGAGGGGGCCAGACGGCGCAAGAGCGACACAAGACGGTCCCAGAGGTCCCCAAGAGGCCCCAACGAGGCCCCCGAGGCCCCCAAGAGGCCACCAAACGGCCCTAAGAAACCACCGAGAGGCCCGGGGAATTGTATACGAATGGCGCGCTATTGCTACGCTCATCGGAGTTTGAACTTGGCGTTGCCTTATGCTGACGTGCATTGAATGCTCATGGCCCTCGTGGACATTCGCACGCTCGTGGGGCGCAGCCGCCCCCAGTGGAACTGACAACGCCCCAGGGCGGGCAGAACGACAAGGCATAACAGTGCGGCAGACGAGCAGGGCAAACTACCCAACGACCTGTCTTTACGTGCTCCGGACGTGCATCCCGCGAAGCGAGAGGAATCCGCCCGCTCACTGGGCTCAGCGACGTGTGGCATGTAACAAGTGGCACGTGCGTGTCCAGGCTCATACACACACGTGCAGGATGTGTGTATGTGTGGTGTGTAGTGTGTCTGCGTGTGAGTGTCTGACATGATTTAACTGTGAATCCTTCCCCCCCAGAGGCCTCCGCCATTCCGCCACCTGGCTGCGCCATCGACCCTCTTCGAGCCTCACGACGGCTTCAACACGGCGTTCATGACGAGATCGAATGTCAGGCTGTTCCCAAAGCCCTTACTTTGATGACTTTAGCCTCGCAGGGGGTCGCCCAGACGCCTATCCTAGCTCTCTGTCGGGCTCGTCTGGAGCATTTTCTATTCTAATACGCATGCATTTTGTCCATGCCGTCTTTCGACGCGATCCTGGATCAATCTTGGGCGAATCTGGGCCCAAATCGGGCCCCAAAACAGAGCCCAAAACACCCCCGATCCGGGCCCGTTTTTGATGGCTTTCGGACGGGACTGCGGCCCAACGCGGCTCGCGCTTGGTCGGGGCCTCGTTCGGCCCTTCTTGGCGCCTGGTGGCGCGTTTTCGCGCCGTCTCTGGTTGATGGTGAGCAATGTTCAAGCTATTTCTGGCCTCATGCTGTGGATAGGGCGCGCGGGTTCCAGAGAGCCGGCCCCCGATCATTGCTCCGACGACCGACCGGCAACTGCATCGTCGATCAGCCGTACGGCATACCTGAGTCGAATCAGCGATGGCATGGACGCCTCTTTTCCTGGCCCTCGTTGACGCCGTGGATGAGGAGCAAAGGTCCAGAGAGCCAGCGCCCATGTCACTGATCCGCTGATAAGGATGACGGGCCGACGATCAACAGATAATTTCACCATCGGTCAGACACGCGGCATACCTGAGTCCGATCGCCGATGAGAGGGAGGACGAGTGGAACGCAAGAAGAAGTACAAAACACACCGATGGGGCCGCTGGACTATTTCAACCTGTGTTCATCTCGTCTTGGACCCGTCTTCGCCTCTTCTGGCGAGAACTGGCATGGGCGGGCGGTAAACGAGAAGCGTCTTGCACAAAACCCATCCAGAACGGAGGTCGAACCTCCATTTGGGAGGTTCGGGACTCTCTTGGGGGTGTGGTCCCATCCAGAACGGAGGTCGGGCCTCAATTTGGGAGGTTTGGGACTATCTTCGGGGTGTGGAGTATGGACCCTGCGGCTTTCCCCTGGGCCTGCCTTGGAAGGCCTGGGGCGCTTTGCCCCAAATCTTGAAGAGAACCCAGCCGTGGCGACGAAAGCCCCCCAGAGGCCCCCGAAATGGCAAGCACCATCAAACACATTGACCGCCTAGCCTCGATGTGACGATGTCTCCCTCCTCCTCCTCCTCCTCCTCCTCCTCCTCCTCCTCCACCTCCCCATCCCCCTCCCCCTCGTCTCCCTCCTTCCCCCCCTCCTCGCGGTCCGCGGTGTGGGCGCTGACGATGTGGTGTGGGCGCTGTCTCGATTATCTCGCACCACCCGCCTGTTATTCATGGTGCTGTTTTTGGAGGCCTCCCAGGGTGCCCCTAGACAGTCCCTAGAGGTGAGGTCCGGGGATTATATCTGGCGCTCAAGTACTCGTCGGGGCCCCTGGTGTATGTCACGGAGAACAGTAGCGTTGCCGACGACTGGTACGATGGGTATGTCCAGAGACCTAGGGGGCCAACCTTCTCCCTTGGAAAATGATTGGGGATCTTGTCCGTGTGCAGGGGAGGGATTTATCTCTGGTGGTTGTCCTGCAAGTTCCGTCGCATGTCGAGATCGACGCGTGGACTTCTTGTGGGTATCCCGAGTTTCTTACCTTTGGCAATGACATGGCAGATCATTTTGCCCGTGAGGGAGCTGACTTGCACCAGCTAGATCCTGAAATCATTGGCCGTGTTCGTAAGGTTGATTTCGACGCGTCCCTGGTTCGGAAAAGGCTGCTCAGAAGTACCCTCGAGGCCATGGCGGCCAGGCCCTCTCCCGAAAGGCGTAACCCTGGGCGGCCCTCCCCTCCTCCTGCTCCGTCCACGCTCGCCATGTTCGCCTCCGGACATGCCCTCAATGTTTGTGGCAAGCAGTGTGTGCGGTGTTGTGGGAGCGCTTCCTTGGATTGCCGTACTGAGTGGTTGTGCACGCCATGCCCCAGTCTGACCCCAGTTAATTCTCATGTCCGTCGTCTGCCGAGGGGGTTTAAGGTTCACTTAGGGAGTGGTTGGATTCACGCTTCCCATTCTCCTCTGTACTCCTCCTCATCAGGCACGTGGATTTGCTCGTCTTGCGTTTTTTCGGTTCTGAGCAGCTCAGGAGAAGGGTTGTCATCCAGATGCGAAGGACACCTTTCGGATGCCCGCCGCAAGTACCTCGATAATTTCGAAGCAGGGAGGCCACCGAAGGACAAGGCGGCCAACCGAGCAGCTCTAGTGTAGCTCGGGCGTTTGAGGATTCACATCGTGAAGGAGCCCATTCCATTCCATTCCTCGCGGTCCGCGGCCGAGGCACTGACCCAACTCGGCCCGATGCCCCCCGAGAGGCTCCCGAGAGGGGCAGCCCTGGGCGGTCGGCTCGTCGGCATATAGGCCAGACCAGTCGCCCAGGAGGGGAGGGACGCGGGTGGGGAGGAGGAGGCGGAGGAGCTGGGCGAGCCCGCCCGCCCCTCCTCCCCCCCCACCCCTCCTTCGCCTGCCCCTCCGCGTCCTGGAGATCCTCCTCCCTCTCATTCGAATCCCTCACCCCCATCTCCCTCGGCATCCCCCATCCCGCTCCGAAACAGATAGCCCCTCCGTGTCGCACCACCAGACGCGTCGCTAGGGCGGGCTAGGTGTTTCGCCTGAGACTTCCTCAAACTGGATCTCGACAAGTGAATACGTATCAGCACTTCGACGGGTGGCGCGCTGGTCGTTGTCAATATGGGAATCTCGTGTTGGCGCAGCGCACACCCGTCCTCGACACTGCCAACACTGATATTATGTGCGTCAGAAGAGAGATGGTGCAGGGATGAGGACCGTTTGCGCGACTTGCGCTATATCAGGCATGGCAGGAGCTGGGAGGAGACTGTAGCGGCAAGCAGGTACGTCGACGACCTTCTGATGTGCTCGGCATGTCTTTGCCGGAAATGCTTATCCGAGGCCGTATCGTTAATTTACCCCGTCAGTTTCGACGAAGCGGAAGACGGTCGTTTTCAGGGTTGGCTTGACCTCGTCATTGATAAATTCAGCCTGCAGGTGGATTACCAGCCAAAGCGATTCAGCACTGTTCCGCCATGGGCTTCCTCACCCCGGGCACTGCGAGCATACGTGCTCTCCCGGGTCTCTCGTATGCGAGAGGTGGAGGTGCCCATCAAGAGCCTGGCGCAACACGTCTCGCAGCTGGTTGTTGACCTGCGCCACTGCGGCTGGGGCGCCGCTGACTTCAGATACGTGTATTTCTCGATCCGGGGCTCCGGGGACACGTCTGAGCTCAGAGTCTTGCGCATTGCTCTACGCATCGCGGCCGGCTTGCCGACGGCCCCCCCGTCCTCACTTCATGTGTTTTCGTCGCACGTCGGGGGGTGCAACCCACTTCATACGATTGGGGGGTTGCTTTGTTGAGCATTTGGCTTGATAGAGCAGTCATCTTTCCAGGCACCCTTGGGCAGCCAGCCCCCCCATGCGTGCGGTTGCGCCAGAATTGCTTCTTTGCGACCTGCTGCACTTTCCGATCCGTCGCTGTCATTGCTCAGGTTTCTTCCTCCTGAGTGTTTTCCTCAGCGGCACATGCATGAGCATGCAGTGCTCAAACATCCGGAGGCCGCGGCTGCCATCAGACAATGATGTGGGGATGATGCTTGAAAAAACCACATGGGCATAACAATAATACGGATGGAGGGCGGGTGGTTTCTAACGTGGGGCTGTCGCGTTTGCACCGTGCATCATACTTTCCGAAGCCTGTAGCAATTATTCAGATGGAGACCGTGCTGTTTCTAAACTGGGGCTCTCGCTTCGGCGCCACATGCGTTCGTCTTACACGTCTGCAACAATTGCGCGAATGGAGGGCGGCTCGTTTCCAAAGTGAGCTCTCGTCTTGGCGCCGCGTGCATTCGTCTTGCACGCTTGCAGCACTTACCTGTATGGAAAGCGTTTCGTGAATGGGGCTCGCACTCGAATCTTATGGTAAGAACGATGCCCGTGCGCAAGCCCTACACGCCCGGAGAGCATTTCGTGATCAAAGCGGAGCTACACCTCAGCACTTACTCGAACTTCACGGTCGCTGCTCGTACAGCTGGCTTCATGGAAAGCGTGTCATACGGAAACGGGGTCTCGCATGAATGGCAGGCCCACGGGGTGTTCGTCTGACAAGGCGTGCGCTTCCCGCAGTGGAAGCGACAGCGTGTAGAGACTTATGAGAAGGGGACTTGAGAGATGGAGACGTAATGTATTCTTGTCGATGCATGTTGGGTTCACTGTGGCCCTCATCCTCTTCCTCGTCCTCCTCCTCCTCCTCCTCCTCTTCCTGCTCCTCCTCCTCCTCCTCATCCCGTTCCCCCTCTCCCCCGCCCAGGCAACAACTGGTCGTTCTAACCAAGGCCCCGTCTGGGAGAGTTCGCGTCCAGGCCTTCTGGCGCGTTCTACCACTGCTTCGAGCCAGAGTAGGTTCGGAGGGGGAAAATACAGCCTTTTGAACACAGTGTGAAAGTGCCGACGGTTGCATGGCAGCGGCTACACCAAGGGGTTGGTTGGTGTGCTGTCCTCTTGCACCACGGTTGCATCTGGAGCCCGCCCGCCCGACGGCCGTCCTGGCGTGCTATCTCGACAGTGCGACCAGTTGTGAGCGCGATGACGTTCCCACTTGGTGGCCTCGGCAGCCCCCAATTGTATCGACGGCAACTGTCCGTCGATGTTAAACACATCCTCCTCCTCCTCCTCCTCCTCCTCCTCCTCCTCCTCCTCCTCCTCCTCCTCCTCCTCCTCCCCCTCCCCCTCCCCTCCTCTTCTAGGAGCCAGACGAGAGAGTGCCACCTGGGAAGCTTGGCCATCCGATGTCGAAGTCCAACAGCAATGCTGTACCCACCAGGGGAGACTTCCGGGATGGCACAACCTGGGGAACAGGAAAAGAAGCAATTCATGCTGACGGATGAGGAGGGAGATGAGGAGATCGACCGTAGATACGCATCCGGTCTCCCACTGCGCAGAAACCTGACCGGACAAGAACGGAAGCGCCGTTTTTTGTCCACCACGTGCGTCAGAGACCGTATTGGCGAGAACGTCAGAGAAACCCATAAACGCAACAGAACAGACTAAATGATGGCCTGCCGCGCTGGTCTGTCGAGGTAGTCTGCTGCCCTGGCCACATCATGGTGTCGACACTGTGCTTTTCTCTCGGCCACGCGGGCCCCCACCCGTTGTCGCCCAGCCTACTTTTTCTGTTCCAGCCTGTCTTGTCTTTTGTTTGTCCGTCGTCGTCGTCGCGTGCCTTTCCTTTGTCGTGGTCGTCGTTTTCATTATAATCGTCCGCTGTTGCCGTTCTCGCTGTCGCCGTCGTTATCATTTTATGATTGCGGTCGTTTTTCTGATTGTTTTTTTGTTGTTGGATTCCGTGTTCGGTTGTTTTTTGTGTTATGTTTGTGGTCGTTTTCTGTCATCGTTTTTTGTCGTAATTTTCGAGATCGTTATTGACGAAGACGACGACGACGACGACGACGACGACGACGAGCAAGAGGACCTTTGCCGGCTGGCTCGGGGTGCCCGCGTCCCTCTGCTGCCGCAGGCCGCCGCCAGCGAGTTCCGAAGTGCGGGCCCGTACCCCTTAGTTAGAGAAAAGTAAGCCCCAGAACCAACGGTGCACGCCGGAGGCGCTTCCCGTCATCCTCGAGTTCGTCTGGAGGCCGTCTCGAGGCCGTCCTGAGGACATCCTGGGCCGTCCTGGCGGCACCGTGGGTCGTCTTGGGGGCCGTCCTGGGGGCTCTTGGGGGTCTCTTGGGGCGCTTTGGGGGTCCTCTGGGGGGCCTTCGGGGTCTCTCTTGGGCCGTTTGGAGGCCCTCCGCGAGCGATTCCAAGATAATGCTGTTTCGGAGTCCCCTCCGGAGCCGATTTTTTGAGGATGTCCCGAGCGAAACGGCCATTTTTCCTGGCCACCCCGCCCCTGACCATTCGATGATCCTCGTTGTCTCCTTCTCCGCCCACCCCCCTCTCTCTCCCTTCCTCCCTTTCCTCCTCCCTCTTTCCTCCCCTATCACCTACGCGTCCGCATCGGCTCCTTCGGAGCAGACTCGAGGCTAAATACATCGTAAGGTACAGGGTCACAGACATCCGGGATTGAGAGAAGAAGCAGGCAGCCGCGAATCGAAAGGAAACTCCTCCGAACATGAAAGCACGGTGTTGCTGCAGTCCGCCGTTGAGAGAAGAAGCAGGCAGCCGCGAATCAGAAAGGAATATCCGCGGACCCTGAAAGCATGGTGTTGCTGCAGAGCGTGAGACCATCTCTGAACGCCCTGCGGGCATCCCTGTTGCGTTTCCTGGCTTCGGCGCCGTCTTGGAGGTATCTTGGACGCTCTTGGGGCTGTCGTAGCCTCTGGCCTCTCGGGGGCCTCTTGGGGGAGTCCCGGGGGGGGCCTTCGGGGGCTCTATGGGGCGTTTTGAAGCTCTCAGGGAACTCCTGGAGCCTTTTCGCGCGTTCTGGGGGACTTCTGGCCGCCTCTTTGGAGCCCCTGGGGGGCTTCTTGGGGGTCTCTTGGGGCGTTTTGGGCGCTCTGGCGGGCCTCTGGCCGCCCCTTGGGGGCCTCTTGGGGGTCTCTTGGGGCGCTCTGGGGGTCCTCTGGGGGGCCTTCGGGGGCTTTCTTGGGCCGTTTGGAGGCCCTCCGGGAGCGATTCCAAGATAATGCTGCTTCGGAGTCCCCTCCGGAGCCGATTTTTTGAGGACGTCCCGAGCGAAACGGCCAATTTTCCGGAACACGGCAGACCACACAGGAGCACGGCAGACCACACAGGACACGGCAGACCCCACGGGAGCACGGCAGACCACACAGGAGCACGGCAAACCACACAAGAGCACGGCAGACCATACAGGAGCACGCCAGACCATTTTGGGGAATCCGTTAACGAAAAATCCCGTGCAGCGCGGCAACCCATATAGTTAAAGAAAAGATATATTTACTCAAGGATTCAGCCAGAACGTCCCGCTTGCTTGTCGTACCTCGAAGACGCTTCCCGTCATCCGCCAACGAGTTTCGGGATGGAGCCCGTACCCCTTAGTTAGAGAACCGCCAACGAGTTTCGGGATGGAGCCCGTACCCCTTAGTTAGAGAATCTCTCTCCCTCTCTATCTCTCTATGTCTCTCTCTTTCTCTGGCTTTAAGCCCCCAAAGCTTCAGCTTCAGCACGGCAGACCAGAACAGCAGACCCGCACGGCAGACCAGCACAACACACCGACACGGCAGACGAGCACGGCAGTCCGGCACGGCAGACCAGCACGGCAGACCAGCACGGCAGCCCATAGGAACATAGCAGACCAGATCATGTCATTGACGCTGCTGTTGTTGGTGATGATCATGTTGCTGCTGATGGTGATGGTGATGCGTACGATGATGATAATGATGATGATGAGGAGGAGGAGGATGATGATGATGAGTATGAGTATGAGTATGGTGATGATGATGGTGATGATGATGATGATGATGATGATGATGAGGATGATGATGATGATGGACTTCTCGGGGTGTGCTTGGGAGATGTTGGGGTCCTCTGGAGAGCCTTTGGACTAGCAGTTTAAATCTGCGTAGCCGTTGTAACCCGACTCTCGTTTTCTTCATCGGTCTGACCGGTTTATCAGCTTACACGGCACAGCGCAGCAACACGACAGACGGCAGCAGCACGGCAGACCAGGAAGGCAGACCACAGGAGCACGGCAGACCAGAACGGCAGACCAGAACGGCAGACCGCAGGAGCACGGCAGAGCAGCACAGCTGACCACAGGAGAACGGCAGACCAGCACAGCGTTGTTGCAGCAGACGGTGCTGATACACTCTTAATTTATTGAACACGTCCCCAGCGAAATCGTCATGGTCGGCCGTATTGAGGGCACTCTGCGGGTCATCTTTGGGCCGATTTTGTTTTTGGGGGGCCGTACTGATGCCCTCAAAAACGATTCCAAGACGACGTTAGACTCATTGTTTGTTTGATGATTGTTCGGCCGTCTTGAGGGCACTCTTAGGGCATAGTCTGCCGTGCTCCTCGTCTTGGTCTGCCGTGCTCCTCGTCTTGGTCATCCTTTCCGTCGTCTTGAGGGCGCTCTTGGTGCCTGGTCTGCCGTGCTCCTCGTCTTGGTCTGCCGTGCTCCTCTCGGTTTCAGTGCCTGGTCTGCCGTGCTCCTCGTCTTGGTCTGCCGTGCTCCTCTCGGTTCCTGCGCGCGGTCTGCCGTGCTCCTGTGGGGAGCACGGCAGACCACAGGAGCACGGCAGACCACACAGGAGCACGGCAGACCACACCTCGATTTTTTGAGGATGTCTCGAGCGAAATGGCCATTTTGGGAACCTGACCGGACAAGAACGGGAAGCGTCCTTTTGTCCCCTGGGCTTATGAGATATTCCACGTTTTTAGTACGGCATACCACAGCAGTGCCACGTACCACTGCCGTGCTTCTTTGGGGTCTGCCGTGCTCCTGTGGAGTTTGCCGTGCGAACGTGTGGTCTGCCGTGCTCCTGTGTGGTCTGGCGTGCTCCTGTATGGTCTGCCGTGCTCTTGTGTGGTTTGCCGTGCTCCTGTGTGGTCTGCCGTGCTCCCGTGGGGTCTGCCGTGTCCTGTGTGGTCTACCGTGCTCCTGTGTGGTCTGCCGTGCTCCTGTGTGGTCTGCCGTGCTCCTTCTTGGTCTGCCGTGCTCATGTGGGGTCTGCCGTGCTCCTGTGCGGTCTGCCGTGCGAACGTGTGGACTGCCGTGCTCATTTGGGGTCTGCCTTGCTCCTTTGTGGTTTGCCGCGCTCCTGTGTGGTCTGCCGTGCTCCTGTGTGGTCAGCCGTGCTCCTGAGGCGTCTACGGTGCTCTTTTGGGGTCTGCCGTACTCATTTGGGGTCTGCCGTGCTCCTGTGGTCGGCCGTGCTCATTTGGGGTCTGCCGCGCGCCTGTGAGATCTGCCGTGCTCCTGTTGGGGAAACGCCAGCGGCGTTCGGGGTACAACAAAAAGGCGCGTTTATGTTGTACCCGCGCGCGGTCTGCCGTGCTCCTGTGGGTTCCGCCGTGCTCCTGTGGCGTCTGCCGTGCTCCTGTGGCGTCTGCCGGGCTCCTGTGTGGTCTGCCGTGCTCCTTTGTGGTCTGCCGTGCTCCTGTGGAGTCTGCCGTGCTCCTGTGTGGTCTGCCGTGCTCTTGTGGTCTGCCGTGCTCATTTGGGATTTGCCGTGCTCATGTGGGGTCTGCCGTACTCCTGTGTGGTCTGCCGTGCTCCGGTGGTCTGCCGTGCTCCTTTGGGGTCTGCCTTGCTACTGTGGGGTCTGCCGTGCTCCTGTGTGGTCTGCCGTGCTCCTGTGGTTTGCCTTGCTCCTGTGTGGTCTGCCGTGCTCCTTTTGGGTCTGCTCTGCCGTGCTCCTGTGGGGTCTGCCGTGCTCCTGTGGGGTCTGCCGTGCTCTTGTGGGGTCTGCCGTGCTCTTGTGTGGTCTGCCGTGCTCCTTTGTGGTCTGCCGTGCTCCTGTGTGGTCTGCCGTGCTCCTGTGTGGCCTGCCGTGCTCTTGTGTGGTCTGCCGTGCTCCTGTTGGTCTGCCGTGCTCTTCTGTGGTCTGCCGTGCTCCTATGGGGTCTGCCGTTGTTCGGCCGTCTTGAGGGCACTCTTAGGGCATAGTCTGCCGTGCTCCTCGTCTTGGTCTGCCGTGCTCCTCGTCTTGGTCATCCTTTCCGTCGTCTTGAGGGCGCTCTTGGTGCCTGGTCTGCCGTGCTCCTCGTCTTGGTCTGCCGTGCTCCTCTCGGTTCCTAAGCCTGGTCTGCCGTGCTCCTCGTCTTGGTCTGCCGTGCTCCTCTCGGTTCCTAAGACGTCTTAAACGATAGCCTCCAACACCTCGATTTTTCGAGGATGTCTCGAGCGAAATGGCCATTTTGGGGAACCTGACCGGACAAGAA